GTGTGCAGTGCAGCGACGCCGTCAGGTACTCTGGGGGTCCCGGGGCCACCCCATCGTCCCTCTTTTCTACTTGCAAGTGCGCCGGTCTCGGGATTAGCGCCAGCACGCGGCCGGGGTTTCCTGGGAAGGAAAATACCCCGACGACCCTGGGGCTCTCCAGGCAAACCGAAGGGGGGAGTCGAAAAGCGCCGCGCCAGGCGCCGGGGCCGCCCGCGCGGGGCTCCCCGTCCATCTCGCCCGTGCAATGGGTGCAAGGAAAGCTGTGGTCTTCTACGCTACCCCACGGAGGAGCGAGATCCAGCTTCTGTCTAGCTCGCGGACATAACCCCGTTTGCGGTCCCCTCATGCCAAAGCGTTGCGCGGAGCGACACGTCGCCAGAGAGCCTGACGATCGACCCATTGGCGCACTGAGCGCGACCCTCCGCAAACCGATAGCACACAGAAAGCATACCAAAAGCAAACAAATCTTTTTGCGTCGGGTCATGAGAGAAGGGCGCCCTTCTCTCATGGTCGGGTACTTTCTCGGAATTCGTACCGGGTGTCCAGGCTAAGACATGCCAGTACGTTGGGTAGCCTATGCGCTGGCTGCAGGGGCAGCAGGCGTGGGGCGGGTGGCGGGGAAGTGGCAGCTCCCCCACCACTCCCCCCCCTACCCGCCCCACGCCTGCTGCCCCTGCAGCCAGCGCATAGGCTACCCAACGTACTGGCATGTCTTAGCCTGGACACCCGGTACGCAGTTTCATCTGCTTGTACCTTTGTACCATCGTAACAGGCGCGGTTTTAAGTCCGTCTTTTAAGCCCGGAGCGGGCGATTTGCTGTGGGTTGCCTACTTTCATGGGTTTTGTAGGACAAAGTGCCTACCTACCCTAGGGCCGACGGGGGGAGGGGGGGGGGAATCGCCCTTTCCCTACACCACATGAATTACTTTAAATAAGTGTTGTAATGCCCGAAGATGATAAATGAGATATGAAATATGCTTGCCGATCCCAAATTAGTTTCCCATAATTAAATTAGTGGGTCGCCCACCCGGTCAGTTGGTAAGGTGGGTGGTTGGGCGGGTGCGATTTGACGTATCCCCTCGCTAGTGTCGTATGCCTCTCCGCTTCCACCTCTCCCGCCGCGCACAGGCGGGAGCGCGCACTTGCCCAAGCGCGGAGCGCCCGTGAATATAACACCAGCCCCGTGCACCGAAAGCTGTAGTGCTTTTCAGACAGACGCCTATGCACGGCTCTATTTTCTTGGATCGCAGCTTGACGACTCTTCCCCGCCCCCCTAACGCCTCGGTACGTCGCGCAACGCTGCAGGACGCGCCGCGTCTTGTACCCCGTGCGTGTGCCCCTCCCGAGCGCCCGGTGCCTCGTGCGACGTGATATTGAGGAGTGAACACTCAACGCGTTTTTAGGCAGTCCCCTGTGGCTGAGGTCGGTGCAGCGGCGTTTTTGTAGTGGCGCATATGAAGTCTTGAGCTCTAGGTGCGGGTCTGGTAACTCATGATTTAATAGGAAACGGTGGTGAAAAATTTTGAAGGGTTGCGAAAATCTTTGACGCTCACTGCTGTCCCTGATCGGCGTGTTGTAGTTTCTCTTGCAGTGATGGCCAGACCGTTATCAGCCGCTTACATACGGGGAAGGGCGTACGCTCTGGCTCGTCGGGATTTGGAGAATGATGAAGCGCCTCCGCTACACCCTCCCCTCCAAGCCCCTGCGCCGGCTCTCGATCCCCCTCAAGACGCTGCACAGGAGGCGGCGGCCCCGGAGGGTGTCGAAATCGGCAATCACGCGGTGGACAACAATGATGATGACAATTCCAATAGTGACGCGGAGCTTACCGGCAGTGATAGTGATATGATCGACAGTAGCGGTGCCAGTGGTAATGGCGATGAAAACATTGAAATGGATAGGGAGAGTGAAAACAATGGTAGCACTAGTGACGGTAACAATACTGATATTGACGGCCAAAGTGACGATAGTGGCAGAAATAGTGATGATGATGATGATAGTGACAATATCAGAGACGGTGATGACGATATGCCAGACAGTGATGACGATATGACAGACAGTGATGATGACGATTATGATTACGACAATCGTGGTAATGACAGTGATGACGACCGTGAATTACTTACTCGATTGGCAAAGTGGAGTTTACAGTACTCTATAACGCTCGAGGCAACCACAGCACTTCTTGCAATTTTGAGGGACGATCACCCAGAACTTCCGAAAACAGCAGAGTGTCTCAGACGCACTTCCAAAAGGCGTTTGGAAGTCAAGGAACTTGACAATGGACAATATGTGCACCTGGGGTTTGATTCTCTTTTTAGTGGCATTGATCCAACTCGTGTTGAGGGCGGTGTGCTGGAAATAGACTTTGGAATCGACGGCTTGTCCATTTTCAAGAGCACTGGAACTGAGTGTTGGCCTATTTTAGCCAGGTGCGTAGCGGGTGACGTCGTGGCACCTGTTGTCATAGGCATATTCTACGGTAGGGGTAAGCCTACACCAATTCGTCGCTACCTTCAAGACCTAATTGACAATATTCAAGAGTTATCTCAGAACGGTGTGGTTATTGGCAATAGACGATTCGAAGTGTCCGTGAGATGTTTCATATGTGATGCTCTTGGCAGAGCGTACTTGCGATGCTGTAAGGCGAATAGCGCCCTGAATGGGTGTGAGAAGTGTGATCAAGAAGGCTACAAAATTGGTCACATCACTGTGTTTCAGACTGTTTCGGGTGTGCTTCGGACTAATGACTCCTTCAGAAATCAGAATGACCCTGATCATCATAATGCAATTTCTCCTTTATTGGACCTTGACATTGATTTGGTGTTGTCATTCCCACTAGACCCGATGCATTTGGTTGAATTAGGTGTTATCAAGAGATTCGTTGACTTTATTCTAGAAAGAGGGAATCTGAATATTAGACTGTCACCTCTGCAAAGACATCTATTTGATACCTTTATGATTGAAGTTGCCCGCTTCCTACCGTGTGAATTTAAGCGTAAATCGCGATCTCTGACACTTATGAGTAGATATAAAGCTGTAGAGTGGCGTCTTCTTTTGCTGTATCTCGGCATTATAATTTTCTCCAGAATCCTGCATCCGCAATTGTATAGGTGTTTCCTGTTGTTACATGCCTCCTGCTTCATTATGAGCAACGATGTCTTAATACATAATTTTCTTCCCCTCTGCCAGAATTATCTTGAAAATTTTGTAGCTTTTAGCTCTGCCATTCTTGGCCCAACATTTGTCGCCTATAACGTGCATAACTTATTGCACTTGGTTTCTGACGTCCAGTTGTATGGCAACTTAATGTCTTTCAGTGCCTATCCTTTTGAGAATGAACTACGCCACCTTAAAAGACTAGCTAAAAGTGCACCGCTACCCTTGCAGCAAATCTGTAAGAGGGTGATCGAACGAAATAGGCTTCACGTCAAACGAAGAAAGAAACAGATCCGTGGTTTTCAAATGCCACATGAAGAAGGTCCTGTAGCACATCTAGAAAATGTTGTTCGACAATTTTGCAAATATGAGTGTGAAGATTTCACACTAAGAAGACGGAGACCTGATAACTGTGTGTCGTTCCGAAATGGACAGATTGGGCTAGTCAGAAATATTGTAGAATGCGTCAATAATGGCCTGTCATCATTTCATGTCGTTGTTCGAGTTTACTCGACTTCTGAGAACCTGTACGACTATCCCCTAGAATCGAGCCTCTTGGGCATTTTTAAAGTTTCCAATCTCACCCCTGATAATTTTGTGTTCAATATCGGGGACATCAGTCACAAGTGCCTTCTTATTCCTTCCCAAGGGTCCAATGTGTGTATTCCTCTACTTCACAATTTTCAGTAAGGTAAGTTACTTGGCTGTATTATTAAATACCTTTAGTGCATGTGCATCCCAATCCATTCATGCCATGTGGGTGTAGGTAAGGTGCCCGCCCTTTTACAGTAGTATAATTTAGTTGTTCACGTAGTGTCACGTAGATCTGTTCCCTCTGAGCCCACAACAATTTGAGTGCAAAACAAACTAATATCCATATTTCAGCCATTGCATCTGCGCTGTGCAGCAACTAAGTGGTGCATCTGCTACTCTTACTGCGTTCCTCAAAACTTTGAATTCCTTTTCAGGGCAAATTTTGTATAGTAGACTTCTCCAGAGAGGATGGAAAATTTGAAACATCTGTAGTGCCCCAATCATGGGTAAATGAGACAAGCACACATTGCGCATGGCCACTGAAGTACAACAAGTCACTCCTAA